TTAATATTTAAACCTTTTAGCGCCACTATCCCACATGAAAGACGCACGTTTTTTGCTTATTGGGGACTTTTCATTCAACTTACCATCGATGCAGCTTCATATATATCTTCAGAGAATCAGGACAACCTGTCAAAAACGAATCCATAATTTTTTGTATGGTTTTCCCCTTTTAATACTAAAAATATACGTACATCGTTTACTTGTAATATTATGATTAATTTAGCTTTAATCACTGATGGCCGTTAGTGTGACACACACACACACACACATAGTTTAATTTCAAAAGACAGTTGACACGCTGTGGCACAAACGATATGTTCACACTGAAAATCTAACATTTTCAGTAGGGTTAGAGTAGAAAAAGCTTAAGGGGAAACATTTAGGCATCCCCTTAGAAACCATTTGTACTCCTTTTCTTTATGAATATATATCAGAATTTCTGGTCGGACTGGTAAAATCAAAACAAATTAATTGAATGAACTTACATTTCAAGTAAAGACGTATTTGTTACATTTTCACAGCCTTTGTGGTAACATCGAGCATGCGTCTTCTACCAAGTTTCTAGAGAGTCCCAAACACTTGCTCAGAGGTTGTTTGATCAAGGGAACGACATTCAATGCCTCGGTAAAGTTTCCGAAACGTTCAATGAGAGACATGAGGGGGACATTTCCGAATTTGAACGTATCAACAACAATGCATGTACATGTATTTCTATTTGACTTGTACCATACAGTCCCGCCTTTGTATCAGGTGAACAACTGACGAACCTTTGCAGGTGTGTATGACGGGTGCTTCTTGAGGGCATTTAGTGAGTGAGTAAGTGAGTTTGGTTTTATGCTTCTTTTAGCAATATTACAGCAATATCACGGTGGGGGACACCAGAAATGGGCTTCACATATTGTGCCCATATGGGGAAGAGAGGCATTAGAAGTAAAAGGCAAATGTTATGGATGACACCTTCCTCTGTATTGAACAGCTGAACAGGGATCAAGGAGTGTCTCTCCCCAGTGCCTGGGAGGTCAATTAGCTCATTACTGGCCTCCATCCACATCTGCTGTTCACTTGTATAAACTTCTCCCTTGTATAAACAATACATGTTATCTGTACATCTCACTCTTTCGTCTCCTGTTTCTTATCCAGTTTATTGTATATACATGCAACACTGGTTTCTTGTATAGTTAGTACAATACTCATTGATTTATCTTGTTTGTTACATATCACCTGACGAGGGGGCAAGGAATAGCCCAGAAACGTTGTGACATACAATAAAGAAGAAGTTGTCATCCATAACGTTAGCCTTTAAAGTTAACTGTTGCTTTCGGTACTTGTTAGATTCAGGCTAGAACCGGTCCTCCGTAGACTTATGGTAAGAGACGACTCTGTGGCGATAGAAAACAAACAATACGTCAATGGTGTTTACGGGGCGGTGGGGAAGCCTAGTGGTTAAAGCGTTCGCCCGTCACGCCGAAAACCCGGGTTCGATTCCCCACATGGGTACAATGTGTTAAGTCCATTTCTGGTGTCCCCCGCCGTGATATTGCTGGAATATTGCTAAAAGCGGCGTAAAACTAACTAACTCACTCAATGGTGTTTACTCAGTGAAAGACAACGTTTATTTTCAATAACATATGGCGTAGGCTTTCATTGACCCATTCAAATTAATGTGGAAAAGCGACAGAAGCGCTGGGAAACCTGTTGACGTTATGTTAAGAATGGTCACATAACATGATGATTAAAGCTTCGATTTCAAGGTTAGTTCTTAATATAAGGTCTTCGTTACTGTCCCGGCGGGATCTGTAAATGGTGGAAGAAACGTCGCTATAATTGGTACTCGACAACAAGGGGTTCGACATATTAAACACAGAAAGACAGGAACATTAGACCTTAAGATGGACTGTGCTGGCAGGATTAACAGTCATGTGGGATATATCCGTATCCCGATCATTGTACCACAGCAAGATATTTAGCTTTTATGTAAATGCACTGGAACATTATATTCTCTGAACTTGTTAAGGATTTCTTGCACTATTGCCTCAAGTACATTATTACTCGTTTAGTTTGTTCGAGTTTCTCTTGCACAACACAACTTAATGCGTTGAAATAATATTCCCTCACTGATTTATTTATTTATTTATTTATTTATTTATTTATTTATTTATTTATTTATTTATTTATTTATTTATTTATTTATTTATTTATTTATTTATTTATTTATTTATTTATTTATTTATTTATTTATTTATTTATTTATTTATTTATTTTACAACAGTTGTATATTGTGCAATTTTATTTATTTATTTTATCCATCTGAATAAATGTCAAATCAAACAGCATGTTCTAATCATATTAAGAACACGTGTACGTACAGATGGTATTCAACATGCTTATTGATTTGTCTGAGATTGCGACCTTTCCGTCCTCAGAGAAGTAAATTACATGTATGGGCACAGCACACTGCTATATTCGTCGTTGTAATTACAACTGTGAACGTCAAAGAAGCTATTAGCAGTGCTGTCCAAATTACTTCTTGAAATGCAGGTTTCTTACTCATACAGGTTTTTAAAATCATCATCACTGCACCTAAGAGTCCCTCGATACACCATATGTACGTCAGGGTAGTCCAGATGTTACGCCGTTAGCCCTTCGCGCCGATGACACGGGTTCGATTCCAACATATAATGTATAAAGACCATTCTTGATACCTCGGGGTGAAACGAATCCATTATTTTGTTGGTTGCGCTAGAAATGTGTTGGCTTCAGTTTCAATAGATTGATTGACTTGTCTCAGTGAATCTACGTAGAAAGAAACGAAACGGTCTATACCAGACAAAGTTTGTCCGACAGTTTGGGCGATTGAATAGGATTCGAACCCAAGATTCTCCCTTATTATGATGTGTCAGTACCATTATCGGTCGTAATGGATTTCGAGTTATTGGTGCACGTCTACAAATCTCTGCCACTTTGGCTTTCCATCTATGACATGCAATATAAATCTACATGATGAGTTTGCTTATTTGCACAGATTCCGTGTACTTGACAATGGTCCTAACGTATATTCCGACACGTTACTACATGTAAATGAGGCAGTAACCGCAAGATTACCTCCCTTGTTAATTTGAATCATTACCCAAACACATGTCATTGCGTCTCAATTGCGTAGATTGATGCTCATGCTGTTGATCTCTGGATTGTCTGGTCCAGACTCGATTATTTACAGAACGACGCCATACAGCTGGGATACTGATGAGTGAGGCGTTAAACAACAAACAAACAAACAAACATAACCAAGATGAACAGCGGACGTCACATCCATTTTTTTAAAAAGTTTACATTTCCCATTTTGTACCTTACTTATCCTCATTGTCTTTATCAATTGGTTAAAAAGACTTCTTCTGTAACATACTCGTTTCTTTACACGCTGACAATATATGAGGGTCTAAATGGTGAACTTTTAAAGTTAAAAAATTAACAATGTACTGTTGAAATGTGAGATATGAAATTGAAGCATGAAGATATCAATTTTGCTGGGTGTTTTTTGTACAGGTAGATGTCGCCCACATAAAGAGATTTCTGATACTTGTAAAGATATCCCTTCTGAAAACGTTCACCAGTTCAGTCAACTGAACTTTCCAAACGCTGAAAACATGTTCAGTGGAAACATATCCACATGTCTGGAAGCTATATTCGTCGAAAACATGATGTTCACTCAGCTAGATAAAATGATCGCCGTTTGAAAATGTATACTAGAACTTCGACATTGACGACCCTAAGGGAAGAGTTTTGTTGTTTTATCGTCGTTATTTTATCCCATCAGTTTGTTTAATTATTCTATATAGAGTTACAGCCAGTGAGGCATAGTTTATTCCACATGTAATTAGACACAACCACGGTGCTAGATAGGTCCTTGGGTACTGAAGATCAAGCTTTAGGGGAATCAACACGGATCTCAGTCACAGGGCAAATAGGTGAGTGAGTAAAGCCTCTTTTACATGCACACATTTACTCCTGAAAGTATATTTACTTATGGAGGAAATTAACTTACAAGAGTAAAAGTATTTTTTACTTCCTGTTCACATGGATATTTAACCAATAGGAGTATATCCGATTTGCATACCACCCAGACATCTGGTTTTTGACGAAGTTTGGTCATTTAATCTTCAGACAAAAAATGAGTAGGCTGTTGATTTTTAAACGCACAGGAGATCTGCAGTATTCATTAACTACAGGACTTGTCCTAAGTCTAACAAAGGACAAGAATGATTGGAATAAGACCCGTTTAAGAACCTGGTGAATAGACATTGCGCAAGGCACCTTTGATGATGACTAGTAGGTAGAAAATTTTCGACTGACTAAATAAACGTTTGCTGAACTGGGACCCTCATTAGTAAGGACTTACAGCAGCGACCTGAATCAGTTCAATATCGAAACGTGTAAACTCCCTTGTCGTAACGATTTGAAAATGGCTTACGAAGTGTCGCGAAAATTAGCACATACCCTATTTGTCACGACTGATCGCATGCTACAGGTTCTTTACTACAGATCGTACCATGTAAAGGCACCTTTATCATTGTATCTTTACAGTGGTACTTGTTATTTTATGGCTGTCATTATCCTAGTAACATCTCCAACGCAATGGTGTAGTGGATACGGCATCTGTCTTGCACATCAAAGACCCGTGTTTGACACCCGGGCTGGAACATCTGAGTGGTATCCATGAACAAGGTACCTCCGTCCACAATGTCCCAGTCCACCTAGCTGTAAAATGGATACCAATGAAACTGACAATGTGAGCCATTAGTTCTCTAATCACCTAACACGCAGCGAGGCTGTATGGTCCTCATTGAGTTGAAAAAGTATCGTAAGGTGCAATAGTGTCCAATGACAGGCAATAGTAATGTACGTAGCACCTTAAAGCACGGATATGGCATAACGATTACGTACTGATATGCGACATTTTATGCATGAAACGTGATAGATATGAATCATAAGATCTTACGGCACAGGTCGAATTGTTTTCAAACAGGCAGACTGTACAATCCACAGGGCTGTTACGTACTACATGTAGAAGAAATTACTAATCGCTCTATTTACAGGAAAGGAAAAGACAATTTGAACAATTGAGATAAAATGTAAAATCTTTAAATGAACTCCTGAAAATGATACTGTTGTCAAACTGACTTAATGCGAGGGTTGCACCATGTTCCCGGCGGCCACGGCAGCCCTGTTTCGCCGAAACGTCGTGAAATGGGGACAAAACGGGATGGACGTGAGACAACGTATGGAGACTGAGAGTCAATGATTGCCGTGGATGCCGTGCCAGATTTTTTAACTGTTCAAAAATTTGCCACGGCAGTCACGGTACTAATGAGAAACCTAGAAGGCTGTTAATGGGAAACCTAGAAGGCTGTTAATGAGAAACCTAGAAGGCTGTTAATGAGAAACCTAGTAGGCTGTTAATGAGAAACCTAGAAGGCTGTTAATTAGAAACCTAGTAGGCTGTAGTTAAATGGAGGGAACGCAACAAAACGTGACAGCACGTAATAGGCCGTAACAATACTTGTAGATGGTCCGTAGTGGGACGGGAGGCATGTGTTTTGTCACGTTCGGCCACGTTTGTTTGGCGTTTTGTCACGGTTGTATCACCCTTGTTGCCCATTTTGTCCCGGTTCTCACGGCAAGCTAGGTTCCCTCTCGGCAGGTGATGCTGGCCTTCTTGTTGACTCGATGTATGCCCCCAGCACACTTACAAACACAAAATCTTCTTCATCTTGGGGGTTCATGAAGCTCTTGTCTCTGGGGATACAATGACTCCTATTGCTTGGGTGTCCTTATTTTTATACCGTGGGCACATCCGTGCTACAAAGCTGACGTTCATCCGAAGAAAGGCATGACATAACGAGCAAAACATGTCAAAACCTTGATTAAAACGTGAGAAACGTGAGAGAACCCATCAGAACCCGACAGGCCGGAAGGTAACGCAATGGCATCCGTAGTGGACTGCGGGCCGAGGCGTAGTGTGCTTCCGGGACTTTGAGCTTCCGGGACTCAGCAGCCCGTTTATCCCAACGGCCCATCACGGATACCGTGATAGACTGTGAGAAAACTTAGCAGGACCGAAGAAAACTTGACTCTGGAGGGAAAAGAGGGCCAAAATACCACGGCACACTACGTTTCGGGCAAACGGGGCTGCCGTGACCGCCGGGAACATAGTGTAACCCTAGCATAAATGAAGTAACATCCATGTCATGTAACATGGTCGTACAGAAAGAAATTGAAAAAAGCAACAAAGACGTATTATGAAAACATATCAGTTCCAAGAAAACTTAAATGTCTTTTGATGAAACATTGATAAAACATAATCATAATGGAATAATAGTACATTTGAAGAAGTGTCATTTACAAGGTCAATTTGCTCCTGAAGTAAAATACTCCAGGAGTAAATATACTTTTACTTTACTGCAGGGAGCAGGTGTAAATTTACTCCAGGAGTATAAACACTTATATGAGTAAATTAGCAAATATTTTCTGACGTTTACATGGTCAATTTACTTACGCATAAGCAATATCCCAACATTATCACGGAAGCAAATATACTCCTGTAAGTACCCATGTGTGAATCGTAAAAGCGGCTTTAGTGTGGTTTTACGCCGCTTTTAGCAATATCCCAGGACATTATCACGGAGGGACTCAGAAATGGGTTTGCACATGTGAAGGATGTTGCATGGTGTGCATATTGTAGATATTGTGAGATGCAGATGTGAAGGATGTTGCATGGTGTGCATATTGTAGATATTGTGAGATGCATGTGCATATTATGAGATATTGTGATGTCGAAGGATGTTGCAGGATGTTGCATGTGTGCATATTGTAGATATTGTGAGATGCACATGTGAAGGATGTTGCATGATGTGCATATTGATATTGTATTGATATTGTGAGATGCATGTGAAGGATGTTGCATGGTGTGCATATTGTAGATATTGTGAGATGCACATGTGAAGGATGTTGCATGATGGTGTGCATATTGTAGATATTGTGAGATGCACATGTGAAGGATGTTGCATGTATGTGCATATTGTAGATATTGTGAGATGCATATGTGAAGGATGTTGCATGTGCATGTGTAGATATTGTAGATATTGTGATGCAGACATGTGAGATGATGCATATGTGAAGGATGTTGCATGGTGTGCATATTGTAGATATTGTGAGATGCAGATGTGAAGGATGTTGCATGGTGTGCATATTGTAGATATTGTGAGATGCAGATGTGAAGGATGTTGCATGGTGTGCATATTGTAGATATTGTGAGATGCAGATGTGAAGGATGTTGCATGGTGTGCATATTGTAGATATTGTTGAGATGCAGATGTGAAGGATGTTGCATGGTGTGCATATTGTAGATATTGTGAGATGCAGATGTGAAGGATGTTGCATGGTGTGCATATTGTAGATATTGTGAGATGCAGATGTGAAGGATGTTGCATGGTGTGCATATTGTAGATATTGTGAGATGCAGATGTGAAGGATGTTGCATGGTGTGCATATTGTAGATATTGTGAGATGCAGATGTGAAGGATGTTGCATGGTGTGCATATTGTAGATATTGTGAGATGCAGATGTGAAGGATGTTGCATGGTGTGCATATTGTAGATATTGTGAGATGCAGATGTGAAGGATGTTGCATGGTGTGCATATTGTAGATATTGTGAGATGCAGATGTGAAGGATGTTGCATGGTGTGTGTAGATATTAGTGAGATGCATATGTGAAGGATGTTGCATGGTGTGTGCAGAGTGTAGATATTGTGAGATGCAGATGTGAAGGATGTTGCATATGTGCATATTGTAGATATTGTGAGATGCAGATGTGAAGGATGTTGCATGGTGTGCATATTGTAGATATTGTGAGATGCACATAGTGTGAAAGATATTTTTGAGATACATAGTGAAGATATTGTGAGATGTGAAGGATGTTGCATGGTGTGCATATTGTAGATATTGTGAGATGCAGATGTGAAGGATGTTGCATGGTGTGCATATTGTAGATATTGTGAGATGCAGATGCGAAGGATGTTGCATGGTGTGCATATTGTAGATATTGTTGAGATGCACATGCGAAGGATGTTGCATGGTGTGCATAGTGTAGATATTGTGAGATGCAGATGTGAAGGATGTTGCATGGTGTGCATATTGTAGATATTGTGAGATGCAGATGTGAAGGATGTTGCATGGTGTGCATATTGTAGATATTGTGAGATGCACATGCGAAGGATGCAGATATTGAAGGATGTTGCATTGCAGTGTGCATAATGAATGTGATATTGTGAGATGCAGATGTGAAGGATGTTGCATGGTGTGCATATTGTAGATATTGTGAGATGCAGATGTGAAGGATGTTGCATGGTGTGCATATTGTAGATATTGTGAGATGCACATGTGAAGGATGTTGCATGGTGTGCATATTGTAGATATTTTGAGATGCAGATGTGAAGGATGTTGCATGTGTGCATATTGTGAAGATATTGTGAGATGATGAAGGATGTTGCATGGTGTGCATATTGTAGATATTGTGAGATGCAGATGTGAAGGATGTTGCATGGTGTGCATATTGTAGATATTGTGAGATGCAGATGTGAAGGATGTTGCATGGTGTGCATATTGTAGATAAGAGATGCACATTGTGAAGGATGTTGCATGGTGTGCATATTGTAGATATTGTGAGATGCATGTGAAGGATGTTATAGATGCACATGCATGGTGTGATGTTGCACATGAAGGATGTGTGCATATTGTAGATATTGTGAGATGCAGATGCATGTGAAGGATGTTGCATGGATGTGCATATTGTAGATAGATATTGTGAGATGCACATGTGAAGTTGATGTTGCATGGTGTGCATATTGTAGATATTGTGAGATGCATATGTGAAGGATGTTGCATGTATTTTTGTGCATATTGTAGATATTGTGAGATGCAGATGTGAAGGATGTTGCATGATATTCTGGACAAGACAATATGGAGGATGCTGAGGGGATTTGGTGAACGACTTCAGGGGAAGAAGATTCGTGGCATTATATTGTTTTTATTTACCAGGGTGCTGTTGTACAAAACAACCTTAGCGCTAAGGCTACCTTAAGTCTATGTTAAAGTATGGGAGTTACGGTCACCTTAGCGCTAAGATCGCTTTGTACAACGGCACCCAGTTTGTTAAACACCAGCAATATACCACCTTTGTCATTGTGACCTGTAAATATTGGCTTAATCAATGGTTGGAAAGCTTGTGAACCAATGTCGAGAAATCTAACCTTTGAGTCCATAGTGACCATTAAATGTCTGAAAGAACACTACTGTTACATATACCACTGGTACTGTAAGATACATCTTATTGTTAAAATCCCAGATATAATGCTAGTGTGTTAACTGAGGAAGCAATCAACCACAATCATTCACCAGTGCTTTCCTTTGGCTTGACTCTAAAAGACCGCCTCCGTGGTGTAGTGGTTAGAGCGTCCGCCCGGAGAGCGGAAGGTCGCGGGTTCGATCCCCGACCGCGCCAGACCAAAAGACGTTAAAATATGGTATTTGTTGGTCCCTGTCTGGCGCTCGGCATTAATGGGTACAACAAGGACTGGTCGGCTCGGAGTCAGTATAATGTGTCTGAGTGGGGTATTCATGCTTCACTGCGGCATGGTATCTCAGTGGGCTAGCACTATAAAACCAGCTTCAGTCTGGGCTAGTACAAGCAGCCGCACATACACATACACACGCATGCACGTCGTCATATAAGTGAAATATTCACAAGCACGACGTAAAACCCAATTTCACCTCACCTTGACTCTAAAACAGGAAGACACCCTCTCCTCTTTTGTAATAGATCCCAAAGCTTCATAAAAAGAAATTGCACAACGAGAGGTATATTTCTTGGTCCCTTAAATGTAAGAGCACATCCCTTTTCTAAAGATGAACCATAATCCTTACCATGATCAAGTACGTTCTTTCTTTGTATTCACAGAACTTATTTGAAACAAGTAAAATTAAAAATAAATGGGGAATGGCTGGAATTTGTACAATGTAAGAAACGGACCGAATTCAGTTCGTACATATCCAGGGGCGGTGGGGTAGCCTAGTGGTTAAGCGTTCGCTCGTCACGCCGAAGGCCCGGGTTCGAATCCCCACATGGGTACAATGTGTAAACCCATTTCTGGTGTCCCCCGCCGTGATATTGCTGGAATATTGCTAAAAGCGGCGTAAAGCTAAACTCACTCACTCACTCGTACATATCCCACATGACATACTTAAGAGAACATCTTTTCTTCGATCTATGAGGCATTAATTAATAGACGTGGTGAACACAGATATAGTTAGTTCTATCTTCAGACTGTCTGAAAGCAAATGTCATCTGAAGTTTATTCTGAGCAAACAATAAGTGAAATGCTAGTATTTCCATCTGTAACATTTGCGTAAGATCTGGGGATAGAACATTTTGTCCAGAAGTATGTTTCCCCATGAGCACCAGTTGTACTCCCCTTCTTACGAATCTCTGTTTGGTTGACAAAACGAAAACA